AAATTTTGCACTTTAATGAACATATTGCATTTGCACTTTTTTCACTGTTCTATTGTATTAATAATTGTTCACAGGTTATAAATACTGTTAATGTAGCACTTAAAGGCACAGCACACTTTTCTTTTCCTATACATTATTCAAGTGTTTTTAGAGCGATTTTCACTTTTATTAGTGCTTGCTAACCTTTTTGTGATATTTTATAGGATTTTTCACTAGTACTAATTTTATAGTGCCATCTTTTACTTTTTTTTTCTATTTTCGAGAATAAAACAAGCAAACAAACAAAAAAAGCGCATATGTGTATGTAGATAACGTATACACAATACACACCGCACTCACACGACTTCATTAGAGGCATCTCATTTACAAAGGAGTTAGAAGTGTGAGAGAATCATTCCCTCATAAAGACATACCACCTACACAGATAGAATGCTGACATCAGAGTTTGCAGGTATCTATGATCTGCAAACTTTCTTTGTCTTAGGGATGAGCATAACCACCTAGGAAAGCTAGTGAGTATGCATCAGCCTCCCGGAGTCAAATGCTAGAGCTGAAATACGCTCGCGCTATGCTCCTGCACAGCAACAGTGTTTTAGCCAATCAGATAATCAGGAGAGCCGTGCTGAGTGTGGTAATCCTGGTTACCTCCGATTCTTAAAATTGGGAAACAGTGGCTGGTTAGCTCATCCCACAAAGCACTGAGAATATATATGTGTGTGTGTGTGTGTGTGTGTGTGTGTGTGTGTGTGTGTATGTATGTATGTATGTATATATATATATATATATATATATATATATATATTTTCTATATCTCTCCCAAAACATGGGTAAAATATACCAAAAAGTAGACCGCATACAAAGGGTAGAAAAAACTTAAACATCTAAACAAAATTATTCAAAGAACTCAATAGTAAGGGACACAAGAAAATATTTTAATAAGTTGTAAAGACATATGAGATGGACTTGAAAATGTGTGCATATGGCACACAGCTAAACAGATAACAAGGCAACAATGTATACGTTTAACCCCTTAAGGACACATGACATGTGTGACATGTCATGATTCCCTTTTATTCCAGATGTTTGGTCCTTAAGCGGTTAAGAAAGTATTAACTGAAACAGGAACATTGTAAATTGCAACAAAATAAGTTCTGTATAGATAAATGAAATGTTGTAACAAATCTCAGAGAGCAGATTCTTTATGCAAGGTGCACATGATAATTACATCTTGCAGATACTACTAGCATCCAATCTTCATACTTAGCTGGATCCTTGGTGTGTTGGTCTAGTCCTGGAGTATGGCTATAATCTGTAAAAGACAGAAAGCAGTTAGAAAAAGGCCAAATAACTGCAAGATAACCTTAAAGGACCACTCTAGGCACCCAGACCACTGTGCCAGGTCCTTCTAGGGTTAACCCATTTTTTTTATAAACATAGCAGTTTCAGAGAAACTGCTATGTTTATGAATGGGTTAAGCCTTCCCCTATTTCCTCTAGTGGCTGTCTCATTGACAGCCATTAGAGGCGCTTGCGTGCTTCTCACTGTGATTTTCATAGTGAGAGCACGCAAGCGTCCATAGGAAAGCATTGTAAATGCTTTCCTATGCGACGGGCTGAATGCGCGCGCAGCTCTTGCCGCGCGTGCGCATTCAGCCCAGGAGGAGGATCGGAGGAGGAGAGAAGGAGGAGAGCTCCCCGCCCAGCGCTGGAAAAAGGTAAGTTTTAACCCCTTTCCAGAGCCAGGCGGGAGGGGGTCCCTGAGGGTGGGGGCACCCTCAGGGCACTATAGTGCCAGGAAAACGAGTATGTTTTCCTGGCACTATAGTGGTCCTTTAACATATGTACAGAAAAACAAACTACCCTCACCAGGCAAAAACCTTTACACCAGGGGAGGGTGGGATGGGCGCCATTGCTAGGTGGTTATGCTTATCCCTAAGACAATGAAGGGTAATAAGGGTCTGGAGGTCCATACTGGGTAAACAAGAACTAAACTCTGTCCCTGCTGTTCTTCTTCAGCACTTTCATCAGTAAAGATGGAGGGGGAAAGGCATTAGGGGTTGGAACATCTGTCCATTGGAAAGACAGTGCATCCATTTTCCAAGTTCCATTTGTCCTAATCCTGGAGACAAACCTGGGAGTTTGTGCAGAAGTTTGGGATGCAAACAGATCTACTTGTCTCTGGCCAAAATTGATTTTATTTTTTTTTTTATCCATTGGAATAAAGCAATGTTTAATTGAACCATTGCCAGTGACAAAAACTGGTGAGAGAGAGAATCTGCGAGCTTGTTCGCCTCTCCCCAAACTTTGTTTGCTTAAGCCCAAGACCAAAGATCTAGAGCCTCCAAACAAAGTCCCCTTAATCTTGTGCCCTCCTCTGTGGTTTATATATGCCACCGCTGTCCTGTTGTCCGTTTTGAACTTTTACCGACATCGGTAACTGGTTTAGAGGAACTAGGACCGGGAGAGCTAATTTCATTGCTCTTAACTCAAGGATGTTTATATGAAGGAGCCTCTCTTGGTCTGACCAATTGCCTGATTGGCTAAAATGCTGTTGCTGTGCAGGAGCAAAGCGTGAACATCTCCCGGAGGACAAAAAGGAATGGCCCTGTCTACAGGCCTACCGATGCACAACTAAAGGTAAATAAGGGTGTGTTATACTATGGGCAATGTACTGCTAGGAAACCTTGGGTTCTGGCATTCATGTGGATGTTACTTTGACACATAGCACCTGTATCGAGATTGTTGCTGCTAACCCCTTAAGGACCAGACTGTTTTTGCGATGTTGTACATTTGCAACCTGGCCTTGAATGTAAATGAAGTGCAAATTAATTTTAAGTGTACTTTTATATTAATTTATGTATAGATTTATTTAAAAATACACTTAGTATGACATTAAATATACATATATGATATATAGACATATTATATAAATATATGTCTATATATCATATTTATATACACATATATTATATGGATATAATATATGTCCATATATCATATTTATATACACATATATAATTATATTCTTTTATTAACTTTTTTATTTTACACTAGCAGGGAGACTGCCTGTCAGCACAGGCAGACACATGGACACCTATTGTTGAGCGATCACATGGTCCCTGGTGTCCTAATCCGCCATGAGGAGACTGGGCTGCAGGCAGTCTCCCCACACCAGGAGCATCGCCGATCGCCGCCAGGGGAACAACAGCGATCGGGTAAGTACATGTTACCGTTGTGACAGTTCAGGACCATCAGTGGTTGGCACCGGTCCTTAAGGGGTTAATGTCTTTATGCCTGATACCAAAGGAAACATTCAGAGGTCCATGCCTCTGCTGTTTTGGCAGCACAAGGGGAGGCTACATGATATTAGGCAAGTGGTTTTAATGTTGTGGCTGATCAGTGTGTGTGTGTGTGTATGTATGTATGTGTATATATCTATCCACAAAAGGCTTGCACTCAAGAGGATCAAAATATCTCTGCCCAGTGCTGTAACCTGCAATACATTAGCATACAAACATCCATGGATGGTCATCACTCATGGGTCTTTTTCATGCTGAAACTTAGCTTGTATTTCAGTATCAATGTTTCAGTTTAAAATTGTAAACTTTCATCAGAACCTGACAAATATATATACATATTTGGCACTAAGCAACAATTGTTACATTACATTAGTATAATGGATGACAGATGTTCTATTGTATTTAGTTATTGTGTAACATGTAGTATATGTTTAAAGTTCAAAAAGTTACATTTATGCACATTATTTACTGTATATCAGCAGGTAGATAAAATGAGGCATAACGGACCATGACCCTGTAGGATCTGAACTGCAGTTATGAAGATCATTGTACTCTTTCAGTTATGGTGATGTAGGCATTCGTATATCAGCTTTTCTGAAACTGCGTAAAACATGTTGTTGACTTGAGGCATCTGGAAACTTGCCATATCCTGGGGTTTATAAATGTATAACCTAAGATTCATGGAGATCCAATTGCAACTGCAGTTAGCAATCACATTTCCATTTGTTGCCATCGTTTTAAATAGTTGAAGTTTTAATTAATTCATTTTTTCCTTATGGCACAATAAAAATGATTATATTTTTATTTTCTTGTAGAGTTCTTAAGAAAATAACCTGATTCTTTGGCATTCATTACTAAAATATAATATTACTGTGAAAACTGAATTGCCCAATTTATTTACTGTTTTGTTTTGGAATATTTCACTTCCAAATCTGTTAATTTGCCCTAAAATGTTCAGTTCACGGCAGGACAGTATTTTGTTCACATGCCAGAGTTTCAGTGAATCTATTGCTTAAACAAGGGGCACAACAACAAATGTATATGAAAAGATTTTTATTACATGGGTAACAGTAATAGGCTATCTCATTAAATGCATCAATGAATGAAAAAGACATACAGTGTCAAATGAAAAGTACAATGTAACACCTACAAGTTCTACAGTAGCCTATAGGCAGTCTACACAATGCATAAATCACTGAATACAAGTATCCAAAAGTAGCTGTATGAGATACCCGAAAACAATTATAAATATAAAGAAAATAAAAGCATACCAGACCTAGTGAGAAGGACAAGAGTCAACCAATAAGCCCCCAATGTTTTGTCAAAATGCCTTTATCAAGGGAGCATGTAGTGAAAGAGTGAACAACACCCTTATATACCCATATAAGAAAAAGAATAAAGAACACCTGTAGAAATGGGTGGTCACCCATAACAATTGAGATCATCCCAACCATACACAACAGTTGACTATGGTTGCCAAGGAAATAAATTAGAACAAACACAAACAGGAAAAAATAAAAATAAATGAGCATATTAAGATGTCACATGGTATATCTACAAGTGAATAAACATAGCTTATGATGAGCACAAAAAAAAATATTAATATAAAGGCATATATCAAAATCAATAATGTATAATGAATAATGTATAAAAAAACTTGGCATTTTTTAGATGAATAGTGATATGCGTTTATTATATGATAAATTAATTTACTGGTAACTCTAGTAATATGCAGACGCAGCAATGTTAACACATAGGGCTCAATTTGCTGGATGTAGTTAGCAAGGTAACAGGAAGCACTGTTTATTAACAATGCATTTTAAAAATTCACAAGTGGTTATTTTTTATGCAATTATTGTAGTAAAAAGTATCCATAGAAAAGAATGTAAATGATTCCCCCTGTTAGTTGTTTACTAAATAGTATATTGGAATATCATGCACAAATATACTGGTTTTTAGTGTAAATTATATTCCTAAAAACTATTTCTGTGTTTAGAATGTTTGTTTGTCTTGAGTTTGCCTTATTTGAACTAGATTATTATGCCAGTTAAATGTACATTTAAACTAAAACTGAGCGTTGCATGAAAAAAAGGTTAACACAACATGTAGGTGATTTTCAATGTTTTATATAATGGTGTAAATTCCAGATGGGTGACAGTTCCCTTTTAAGATATGCCACCAATCAGAGATATATGTTCTCTTTTGCGGTGCTGAAAGAACAGCTCTCTGCATCCCATACCTAATAAATTGATAAAGGAAGATTCAAAGAAAATGAGAAGGGGGTGTTCAGGACCCAAGTGTCACCAGAGAGAGCTCAGGCATTTGTGCTGTTTTTCTCCGCCACGTCAGCTGTTTAAAAATGGAACTAAAGCAATGTTATCCAGCTTAAATCTTAAACTTACAGTGGACTTGTGATTGGTTGTAAAATAGTAAATTGATCATAGTGTTCATGTTAACGTTATATCAGCATCAGTAAAATCTGTTTCATCCCTATTTTAGTCTCATTTACTGGCTGAGCACGTCTGTTGACCGTTATTAAAATATGGATGAAGTTGATACTTCTGGTGTGCAAGTGAAATTTTCACATTAGCAATTGCCTGGGGCTATTGATGACTTAGGGTCCACCAGATTTGGTCTAACCTCTTGAAAACCGTTCAACCAAGAACTGACCATGAAAAGACCATGCAAGTAGCCTAATGGAATCATAACCACTACATAAGCATAAAGAGTTTATGGTACCCAAAAAGCTCCTTTAATGTTTTTGGATCTATAGTTTATTTAAACAAGCAAGAGAATATAGCATCTGTAAAGAAAAAAAATTAAGAGAAAGTCAGTAACTTTTTCTCCTTCGGGAGTCTGGTTCTTAGCAAAGACGTAGTGTTTTCACTTAATACATTGTGCTGTCATTTCAATCCATCATAAGTATAGTATCTATTCCACTGCAGTGGTAAAACATCTGCTTGGTGTTCAGCCTAGGCTTGGGAACCTTTAGTCACCTTTGATGGGGGGGATTTGTCTTAGGGCTCACACCCACCGCTCAAGGCTGGGGGCCGGGGGGAGGACAGTAGGTTCCCCCATTGTAATTTATGGCCCCCACCCACCGCGCAGGGGTGGGGGCTGGGGTGGAGGACAGTAGGCCCCCCTCCCCATTGTAATTTATGGCCCCCACCCACCGCGCAGGGGTTGAGGCTGGGGGGGTAGGACTGTAGGTCCTCCCCCCTCATTATCTTTATGGCCCAGACCCACCACGCAGGGGTGGGGCCTGGGGGGAGGACAGTAGGTCTCCCCCCTACTGTTATTTAGGGCACCCACCCACCGTGCAGGGGTGGGGGCCGGATAGTTTGTGTTTTTTGTTTTTTTTACAGTGAGCAGCAACAGGCTGCTCACTGTTTAGTAGACATGCCCCTACTCGCGGTATAGCAAGTAGGGGCATTTGGGAGATTTCAATCTCCCTTATGTTATTATGAGGGTCATATTGACCCCCATAGAGTGAGGGAGGACATGGGGGGGCTTATGAAGTGGTGGGGAGCACTGATCCCTGCCACTTCTATCTTTACATATTACTTAGTTCAGGTACTTAGTTAAATGTTCCCCCCTCATTATTTTTAGGGTGAGGGGGGTAGGTAGGGATTAATTTTTTGGGGGAGGGGGGTGAGTAGGGGGTTGGGACCCCTAGTCACCCAGGGGAGGGGGGGTTATTTTTTTTTATTTAGGGTCCCCACCCTCAGGGGTGGGGGCCAGGGGGGAGGACATTAGGTCCCCCCCCAATTAGTATTTTAGGACCCCCACCCACCGCTCAGGGGTGGGGGCCAGGGGGGGAGGACGTTAGGTCCCCCCCTCATTCTAATTTAAGGCCCCCACCCACCGCTCGGGTCGCGGGTGGGGGCTCGGGAGGGGGGGACCTTTTTTTTTTTTTTAACAGTGAGCAGTTCCCTGTTTAATAGACATGCCCCTACTCGTGGTATAGCGAGTAGGAGCACAATTTACTAATACTAAGTAATTTTTACTTAGTATTAGTAAATTTGGCTGAAAGACCAATTAAGGTCTTTCAACCTTTTAGTAGATAACTCCCTAATTCCCACGGTATTAGGGAGTTATCTACCAAGCAGCTGCAAGAGAAGTTCTGAAATTCCGAGGTCCCGAAGTTGCCGAGGTCCCGAAGATCCAAAATTACAGAATTTCCGAAGTCACAAATTTCGGAATGCCGAACCGAAAAATGTTCCCATATAATAGCATTATACAAATATATTTGGGGTCAATACAAACCATTGTCAGGAAATGTATTCATAAACAGACCATAAGTTCCTGCATTTAGACTGGAAGAAAGGGAATTTAGTCAAAGGAAAGGATTTTCTTACTGTAAATCAAGAACGATGTGAAATTCTGTCTGAATAGGTGGTTTAATCATAGTCTGTACCGATGTTTAAACAGCAACTTGCAAAAACATAATATTCACCAGATATAATTTTGAATGTGTGGATTAATAACTTCTTGATCCAAGGAGATATCTAACTGACATTTCGGGGTCAAGAAGGATTTTTTTCTTAGTTTGTTACAAAATTAGAAGTACTTAAAATTGTGTATTTTGCCTTCTTTTGGATCAACAGAAAATATGTGATAAAGGATGAACTTGATGGATACATGTAACTGTGATTTGCTATCTGGGTATGAACGTGTCCACAGGATCTACCTTTTCAGTTCTTTGCAGCAGTTAAGCAATAAATCCTGAAAATTGCTGGTTCCTGATGTTACTTCTGTGGGTATTAATATGTATATGGGTATTAATTTATCTCTATCAATGAAAGAGGCTTAATCACACCATACAAGAGGCCCCAATACCTTTGAGAAACCAATACATAGGCACATACTATCTATGTGCTTGAGACACCTCTAGGTAAGTTCAAGCATCTCATCTACTCTGTTTAGTTTATATTTTTTAACATTTGGATCCTGAATAAAATGTATTCTAAAGTATTTGGAGGTTTTATCAAATACATATATCCAGCAAGAGGGGCAGTCACCCGTATACAGACATGAGGCTTTATATTGTGGCGTGATATTTAAATGCTCCCAACAAATATGAGTTAATATTTACCATTCTTAATGTTGGATGTTTGTGCTACTTTTATTTTACATGATTCTGATTGCCTGTGAGGGGGATTGCAATAAAGGGAATACAGAGGGCTGACCCTCTTTAAAAAGAAAGATGCAACCATCCTGTATTTGGTTCAATGTTCTGCAGTTTTGGGTATTACTTGTATACGCTCCCATATATGCAAGTATGACCATTGTGTTTTTTGTTTTGATAAGCTGACTTTTATTTACAATATTACACTATATATATTTTATTATTCTCTTTTGTCTTTAATACAGTTGGTATGAAAATAATGTTTAGTGTTTCACACAAAAAGTGCTCCACTTTGTTCACATATTTTTCACAAACATGTTTGTTTTGTGTGTCAGACATTTTGTTTTGGTTTTCTATATAAATAATTCACTACAATATAGAATTATATGTTTACAATAAATAAGCAAAAAATAGTAACAGAACACATCTTGAAATAGCTAACCTATTGGTCTCTACCCTACCACAGCACTTTGAAAGTGGGGCGCTGCGAGGTGCACACAGGGGTGCCGCAGAATGTTTCCCCGGTGCTATGATATAGCACTGGGGAAACATTACTACTAAACAGGGCCCGGTCGGGTGCCGTGGTCCCTTAAGACTGTGACTGTGCACCTGTGATGTCAGCCAGCTGGAAAGCAGTGACAGCCTGTCACTTCCTCCCAGCATCCTGCAGGGAGACAGCGCGTGAGGGGAGAGGAGCACGAAAAGCTCCAGATCCCTCACTCCCACAGCAGCAGGACTCCAAGCCACCCTCCTGGTAAATAAGGTAAGAGAGAGAGAGAGAGCGAGAGACCCCTGCATTCAAACTAAAAAAAAATGCAATACCTGTTTTGCATATTTGTGCTGTTGTGATGGACTCTATTCAGGGAGTTGAATAATTTTGAGACTGGAGAAGTTATTTTAAATTGCATTTTCAGTTGAATTTGGGGAAACCACTTGCAGCATTCGTTGTGTTGATCTATTTCAATTGCTTTTGTTTGATTTGTTCATTAGAAACAGCTGAAAGTCTACATTTTGACAATAAATCTGATTTTAATAATTTTGATTACAACTGTATCTGTCATGTAAGAGCATTGGTATCATTCTGAGTACTGCAACAGCATTCATTGTCTTGCAATATTTTGTATTATAAAAAACTATCTGAAAAATAACTTTTCAAATGGAAAAAAGAATAGGAATAGAATGGTTGCAAGTGATGCAGGTCTTCTGTGCATTAGGGTTAAATGTGACACCCAAGGTATCGCTGATCAAATGAACAACTCTTTATATGAATTAAGTTACTAAATATTCACAAAGCTTGCTTGGTAAAAAAACGTACCTTTTCCAAGCCAGTTTTGCAAATGGGGAATCACTGATTGGCTCAACTCTTCCTGAAACTGAAATTTCAGCTGGTTAACGCTGGGGGGCTGAGATTGGTACTGGAGGCAACTTTGGAGTTAAACCGTTCAACAGTTTAACCCTTGAGTAAGAGTGAGCCAAAGGGCCTCCGAACACCATAAGGCACCATAACAACTTCTAACACATTACGTTGTTATGGTGCCTAAACTGTGCCTTTACACACTTAAATGTATAACATAAGTCAAGCCAGATGGTTAAAAACTACAAGCCTTTATCTGTCATGACTGTCATCTGTCTGTCATTCACAGGGTGCAGGACTTGTACTGTGCATTATGACGAATGTTTGTTCTGGGTGTGAGAGCACGATGTATGTTGTTCAACTGTGGATAATATGTCATGGGTGTTTTAAGAATTTCTATCAAATTAAATAATTTAGCCTATATATTTTGTTAGTGTTTTTCCTTTCACATAAATATTTTAAATCACAATACATGCCTTTAAATAAGAACCATAATTCTTTTGATTA